CTCTCTCTCTCTCTCTCTCTCATATTTCAGTCATTGCTTTTGTTGCATGTGAGGTCCGCCAGAAGACCCAACACATGACATTTGCGAAATTGCATAGCGAATCGTCCATCAGGAGAAAAGGACGGGAACAAACCGCGAAAACCCACGACATGAGCATTGCAAAACGAATTTTCCTCCCCATACATAACGCGGACCAATACACGAAAGGTGAAATGTTTTCAGCACATTTCAACAAGCTTTCAATACAGTTCAACAAGTTTTCAACTAGTTTCAACACGTTTCAACAAGCTCTCACTCTTCAACAACTTTTCAACAAGTTTTCAACAATTGTTCAACAGTTAGACTAACATCATTTCAACAGTTGGACCAACAGATGAATACACCAGTTTCAATTTTTCCAATATTTGGTCAGCGTTGGTTTCCTTGACTTTTGGTAGAACACATGACCCCCCCCCCGGCCAAACAGTTTATAAACACAGTTCCAACGGTTGAAATATGGTGTCCACATATGTTCATCAAGGCCAAAAATTTGCCACAATTTTTTTGTTGATGATCGTGCCCCCAACCCGGTCCTCAGGGCCTCGCAATGGAACGTTACGAGTCGTCAAAGGACGAGGTGGAGGCGGAGGTGGCGCGGGGCCTGCAGTGAGACCACATGTTCGAGGACGCATCATCTTCGTGAGAGGAGCGTCGTCGCCATCCTCATTAGAATCTATGGGCTCTGACTCCAGCCAAAGGTCGTCTGGATCAGACCACGGCTCCGCTTCAACTTGAGTCGGGTCTTGAGCCACTCGATCTAGCTCGGGATCGTAGATGGAGTCCAGCTCTGTCCGCATGAGCACGGTAGCGTGACGACCGAAATGCGTCTCCACACTGAATAGCGTCGTGAGCCGTCCTCTGCCTCCTCCTCATCGTCCTCCCACGGCAGAACGTACCCTGAACCCCTCCCCTAACACCGAATCAATCTCAAGTTGGTTGTGATCTCCACCAATCGAGTGAGCTTGATGAAACCAAGCTTGTTACGCCTCTTCACCTTAACACTCTTATGAACAACCCAGTTCCTCTCCGCTAGAGAGGTGCACGTCCATGTGTGCGTCAGGCGAATAGCGTAGGTCTAAAGGAGAGGGGTCCCATCTCCGTGTTGTACCCACCACTGCCCGACATGAGACGTCTCCCTCTCCCCTCGACAGGAGGCCGCGTCCTCGTCACCTTCAACCTCTCCATACGTCCAATTGCCCTCCCGACTGTGGAACTCCGCCAGCTGTGTGCGCAACGTTTGATACAAAGCCTCATCATTGCCAATCTGCTGGCGGAGGTATCGTAGTGCTTCCTTATCCAATATTTTATCATGCTTGCTCCGCCTCGCCGCTCCGAAAAACGTGATGCTCCTATAGCGCAGGTTAGGGAGGTGGGTCATGCAATGTGCCGGCTCCAACATATGATCCACCCGCGCATGACAAGTCTGGATGATGATGTTGAGCTCCTCCATCGTCGTCCTCTTCAGTCTGGCTCTCGCCACCCTGTCAGGCAGTCAACCATGCTAAGCCCCGAGGAGTATTTCAATAGTACTGTAAAACCTGGAACTCTCTGACCGCCAAGCCGCCAGGGATGATCTAACTAGGGATCCGTTTTCGATTGACATGTTAAAAACATGAGGGAAATTACCTCTCCCAAACAAGACGGCACCTGAGAGATGGGAAGAGGTATGTCAACAACCATTATTCAACAACACACTTTTCAAGGCTATACCCTTAACTGCACAGATTCGTCTTGGAAAGTGTGGATCAGAAAAGGAATTACACGCATCAAGGACATCTAGAACATTGAGGACAAGGACTGGATTGACTCGTCGATTCTCCATGAAAGACTAAGGTACTGGCACCATCAGAAAAAAACTCTGGAGGTTGGAGCAAATAATCGACATAGTCCCCTTGGAATGGGTTAGAATCTTGAAGAAGGGGCCTACTCTTACCCCAAATGATTGAGTGTCCATATCTGATCAACCAGGATTAGTGGGAAATATAGTTGAAGTCTGCACCACAGAGGACATTTTCATGACTATATTTCATCTGGGGGAGGACAGATACCTTAAGTCAAGATCACAGCAGCAAACGGGGTGGTTCAAGAAGGACAGACTATTTAGGACCAGGGTTCTAATGATCAAGGAAAAATGGTTGGCCTATAATCCGGACACTCTCATTTTCCACCTTCCCTTAGATTCGATATGACTGCCACAAGACGCTCCCATACCAGGACACTTCACACACTGTCAGTCAAGTCCACTTACAGGATGCTTCGTCCTAAGGTAAATATATACGATAAAATAGATGACCGATGGATGAGACACCTAATGTAAGCAAAGAAAATTTGTCAAGTGGTTCCATACCATCAAATTTAGACCTGTTAGAATGGCATCGCTGCAATGGCAAACCGCTCATCGTTGCTTACCCACTAATGACTGGATTATTGACAGAACCTCGCTTGAACAAAAAGGAATAGCCCTACCCTGGTGTAAGTTTTGCAAATCAGTCTTCCCTTCCAAACTGATTCCGGAAACTCTAGAACACATTTTCTTGCAATGCCCAAGTTCTGTATGGCTATGACGCTGGTGGGACATGATTTGGAACTATGTAGAAACATCCCTCCCCTGGCCATGGAACTGGAAAGTTTTTCTCCTCGAGTCCTAAAACCCGATCCACGTGAATAATTTCACATCAAGCCTATTTACAATTGGAAGAAGAGCAGTCATTTGGGCATTATGGATTCATAGGTGTACTTATGAAATGGAAGACGCTCGTCTTGATGGTCCCGAATTTACAGAAACCATTAAGCATTAAATCCAAGTAGAAATTACTACCAGATGGGAGACCCTAAAGAAAAAACTTGAATTTTGGACTTCAAAAAAATACATTAAGCTACACATCAAGACATTAAATCAGAACTGGCTTGGAGGGGACCAAGGAGGGAGGCTGAGGCAGGTGGAATGGGAAGGAATACAAGAGAATGCTCAGGCTGAGTTCCCAAGAAATCACCGCTTACTCTTCAATGATTGGAGTAACATTGATCCCTTCGTCCCAATGAGACCACTATCAAATTTTTCGAATTTTTTTCCTCCGCTTGGGCTGCCTTTGGTTCCCAGGTCATGGTATGCGCTTGACTCTGAATGAATAGCATCGTTCCTTTTGAACGGCTTTCTCTCACTTTTTAGACTGTCACTCAGATAAATATGATGGAAAATGTTAGGTGGACATGCATATCTGGCGCCCGTTCAAGGTGAAGAGGTGCAGAAGTCAAAACTACTTACCTTTACCTTTCCTTATGCTCACTATCATCTGATCAGAAGGGACGCTGGACCCGGTTTCCAGCATGAGTTGTACCATGTCTTTTCAGTGCTAATGATGTAAAGGGACATTGGACCCGTTTTCCAGCAGGTGCAACTTCCCACCAATCACAAGTGGTTAACGGGGACCCCCACTTTTCGGCCATGGGTAACGATGAATGATCCTGAAATTAGGGTTTCTTGCTGTGTCAAATTTGGTGTCATTTGGGTTATTAGAATTTGTGCTGTTAATCATCCTGAAAATCCTGAAATTTTAACGAAGTTGTTTTTTGGCAAAATTGCCTGAAAATGCACTTTTGAGTTGCTGTTTTATGTGGTTTTTTTTTTTTTTTTTTGGTATTTGTTTTATAATATGTTAGTAAGAAGTGCACTCTATAGATTGGTGTGAAGTTTGTTTGGGATAGCCTTATGGTTTTCTTATAAATTGAGGTGAAAAGTGGGGGGTCAGTTAACCTTTTCTCCGTCGATGACGTTTCTTTGAAAAAAAAAAAAAAAAAAAAAATCATTATTCACATGAGTGGCCATAGGTAATTCAGAAATTCATAATCATGCAATCCCATGGGTTGAACATTTTTTTTTTTCTTTCCTTGTTTTTTTTTTTTTAAAGGGTCATGGCCTTGAAGTATCATCATTGAGTTAAACTGCCCTAGGTAATATCGACGCACGGGTGTTGTTCCACTACTCGTGAAATGTGCAAAACGAGACTGAGTCTTCGACTAGAATATGGGAAGATACACGGCCATATTTTTTCTCTTTCGTTCAAGTTGTGTGTAGGGGAGCGAGGCCCTATTTTGATGGCATCTAGATTCGAACTCAGGGGTGGACCCCACCGCACCGCACAGAATTGCGCAGAATAGAAACTGTGCGGAAAATTTATCAGTCGCACACGGGAGGAACTTCGTCGATGAGACTCCACCGCACAGCGTATTTTTGGGCGTTCCGGTCGACGTGCATACCGAAAAAGAAAAGTTTTGGGGGAGTTTCCTTTTCTGACAGGAGGAGACCGTCTGTTGGGTTTTCGGGCATCGGGGGTATGGACACTGGTTTGTCCGTGGTCCTTCCTTGTGGGGCGAGTGAGCATCACCGACATGCGACAGATACGTTGTGCGCGACGAGCCTTGTCGGAAGCAGGGGTACGCTGGTGTATTTGAGGGTACCGTACTTGTTTCTGAGCATGGGACCAGTTTTGCCTCCCCGGGCGGAGGCTCCCCTCACTTTCCCCCACCGTCGACCCCGTTAATGCTTGTTCCGCTGCTGCCTCGAGTTCGTGGTACACGCACTCATTCCTGAGCATGGGGCCAGTTTTGCCTCCCCGGCAAGAGGCTCCCCCCACTTTCCCCCACCGCCGACCCCATTCATGCTTGTCCCGCTGCTGCCTCGAGTTCGTGGTACACGTCATTGTTCCCTCTCTCTCTCTCTCTCTCTCTCTCTCTCTCTCTCTCTCTCTCTCTCTCTCTCTCTTTTTGTTTTTTTTTTCCTCGTGTGCGCCTCTGCGAAGTGAGGTTGCAGTCGGTGACATCCATAGCCACAACGGTCGTTCAGTGTTGCACCGTTGACGATGGACGAAGACGCATCCGGGACTATGGAGACTCCACGAAGACAACAGGAGGCAGGCCATTAGATGGAGGACCTCCTCTTCTCGTTGGTCCTCATCATCATCCGGTGCATGAACCAGCGAAACATTGTTTTGCGATAACAATTTTTAACACGCTCGCAGCTCTACCTTGTTGGACAGCAAACATGTCATCCCTGTTAACTGTCTTTGCCAGTGGTGCCATCCACAACATATCCCTTGTCTCTGTAGTGCAGTATATATATTCCAATTTCAATGTTGAATGTATTGAAATAACGATGAGTTTCACATATGTTTACAAGTAGTGCTTAATGGCACCCCGTCCAACATGCAGTGTATTATAGGAAAGTCTGTGGTTTATCATTTTTTAGCCATTGTATGAGCACACCCTCATTTATTGAACAACTTTTATGCCGTCTAGTTTATTCCTCATTTCTTTTGTTTTAAACATAAACAATTCGTTTTAGTTTTCATTCCAAAGCGATGCATTTGTTGCATTTTGCAACGCGAAAAATATATGGTGTGCGAAATTGCAGACGTGGCTTACGTTTGGCTGGTGTATTTTCAAGCATTTTGTGACGTGCACTTACACTTACTGTTATTGTCTGCAAGTGTTAATTTTTTTTTTTTTTTTAATACCTCTATGCTATATATAGTTTTTTTTCGATGATTTTTTGTTTGGGTTTGCATCCTTTGTATTATCATTGTTAGAGAGTCTCATTTCACCACTCGCCACATGCAAAAATAACAAAAACTATGCCAATGTATCTTTTCATTTTCGAATCAAAGAAATGCTCTCACTTTGCAAATTTGATCAGTGTTGGGAGTTTTTTGAAACTCTGGTTTTTAGTTTGTTATTAACAATGGATATAGCCTGAGTTATTTCAATTTGTTTGCTTGCGAATTTTTGTTTTTTAATACTTTGTCAGGGTAATTTTAAATTGTTTTATGAAATTTTAAAATTTTTAATGGAGTTAAATTTTTCGTATCCTTTTGCTTGTGTGTTGCAGGAGCACAACTCAACTTAACGGTTAGGGTTTGAGGCATTAATGAATTGTCTTTACGAAGTTGGATTTTTTTTGTCTTTGTTAATTTGTTACATTTGTGTGGTTCGACCGGAGTGTTTGGTTTTGAGGCTTGTTGATCCTTGCTATTTGCAATGAACTTGTTATTTGATTGATGTACAACGCTTGACAATGAAATTTTTTGACATGACTTTTAAACCACTAGTACCTTTGTCGGTTCGAAAATACTCGGCCTCCGAACTTTCAGGAGGCCGAAACGAAACGACAGTCACCGATCAGATTGATCAACGTCGAGCTCGGCCTCTTGAAAGTTCGGGAGCTGACAAGTACTTGTCAAAACTGGACGCCAAAGGTACTAGTGCTTTAACAACAAAAAAATAAAATCACGAATTACAAATTGGGGTTGAGGCACAATCATACTAGTGAAGACGTTTGCTTGCATAAAGTTAATTCAAACGATAGGAAATAAAGATGGCCCCAAACGACTGTACAATCTGATAGTATGTATATTTTTTTTGTATTTGTTGTGGATTTTTTTTTCCTTATGAAAAATATGACCAAGATTAGATGTCATTACCCATTGGCTAGCGAGGAAAATAAACGGTAGGAGTCTGGTGAGGGTGCATGGTTTCAAAACGATGAAATACATGGTTAAAATATCGTTATTAATTTTATTTTTTTCTTGATTTTTAAATATTTTATTTAATTTATTTTATAAAAATGATGAAATAATGTGACATTTTTTAGTGATGCAGGTTATTGCCTACAATGCTTAGTATGTATATTTTTTTCTTTCTTTGCTGTGAAGTTTTTCTTTTTTATGAAAAATATGACCAAGATTAGATTTGATCATTCATTGGCTAGAAAGAAAAAACACACGATAAGAGTCTGGTGAGGGGGCGTGGTTTCAAAATAATGAAATACGTGGTTAAAATATTGTTATTAAGTTTGTTGTTTTCTTGATTTTTTTAACATTTGATGGTATAAAAATGACAAAATAGTGTCACTCTTTTAAGTGATGCAGGTTATTGCTTAGTATTCCCCCTTAGACTTTTCAAGATAACGATGAGACGGTGGCGGTGGGTGGAAACATAAGTAGGCGCATTGTCTCGAGACATATGGATACTCTATAGATGTGTCTAATTGGATCTATGCCTAGGGGGCATACTCACACGTCATAGATATATCGGAGCACATGTCAGGTTAACAATGTATTCGACACTTTTTTTTTTTTTTTTTTTTTTTTTTTTTTAGGTAGCACACCCGAATATTCAAAGACAGAGTCTCACTAGCAATGGGATAGGTGTTACTCTATCCGCTTGACGTACGTGGGAGATGGGGTTGTGAGACACGGAAAAGTGGTAAAAAAAAAAAGGTTAAAGAAGAAAACGTACCATTTGATAGTGAATTGCGTCCGCCTCCCGAATAATGTTCATCTCTGCCTCGGTGTCCACCATTGCTGCGCACTTGGAACCTTTCACCATGAAATCCACCGTACCGCAGGCTACGCACTTCCAGTCCATCTTCGTACTTGACTCTGCCCACTCTGCCTCCTTGGGCAGAATCGTACCCAGATGGACATTGGGCACCAGGCGCCGTGATAACCTCCCCTTCAGTTCATCGTGGAGTCGCGGGGCTGACGCTAGGATTTCCTTCAGGGTCATGAGGTCATTATGCCCTTCCAGCAGCCGGTCAATCACCTTCTCTACGTCAAATCCTTCTTCCAACCGGACCGCGTATTTCTTCTTTTTGGGCGGTCCGTCATGTATGACCGGTTCGGCCTCTCCCCTGGCTCCCTTTTTCCTTGCCCGCTGCTCCGCTCTCTGATCCTCTTCTCTGCGCAGCCTCTCGTCCTCTTCCTCTTCATCATCGTCGTCCTCTACTTCCACAGCTTCTTTCCTTCTCCCTGGTTCGTGTTCCCCCCTTGGAGGCTCTTGGCTGGTACTGGCCTTGGCTTGATTCCTCGTTCGCGCTGCCTGTGCCAGTCGGGCTTGCGGAGTGAGGGGTCTCCCCCTTATTCCTGGTTGAGGGCATGACCCCACCACATTTACTCCGGGTCGCCCAGGCGCTGACTCCGGGCCAGAGTCATAGAGGAATACTGTGGGGATGTTAGACCTCCATCCTTTCACTTCTTTACAGAGGCCCACCAACTTCTGTTGGTACCTCCCCATCTTATCCAACAAGTCCTTCATCTTCTCAAATAAGACGGACGGAGGCTCCGTTTTTTCCTCCTCCTCCTCGTCATCTGACTCGATGATTATGGTCTCTTCCGTCTCACTTCCTCCTCGTAGCCCTTGAGTTACTTCCTCATCATTTCTCACTTCTTCCACCCCAAACGGTGGTTCCTCCTTTTCCTGCCATAGCCTGAACATGGCAGGGGGTGGTGGCCCCGCTGCCGCTCTTCGTTGGGCTTCAGCCCTCACCCTTCCAAGCCTTCTGTCAATGGCCTCCCCAAATTGATCGTAGATATCCCCATCCATAGTAGAGGAAATCAGCCCGCTTCTCTCGTCTTCCCGTCTTATATTACAGAACCTTATAGTGTGGCCTTGCTGGTCACAATGTTGACAGATGGCCGTCCTCCAGTCAAAGCGGGGTCTTTAATACCCCTGACTACCCTGATCCCCCTGGCCTTGATACCCCTTGCCTTGATAGCCCTGGCCTTGGTACCCCTTGCCCTGACTCCCTTGGCCTTGGTACCCCTGGCCTTGACTCCCTTGGCCTTGGTACCCCTGGCCTTGATAGCCCTGGCCTTGGTATCCCTGGCCTTGGCCATTCCATTGCCTTCCTCTTCCGCCGCCATTCCTGCCTCGCCCCTTTCCTCCACGCCTCCCTCCATTGCCTTGATTGCCCTGCCCCTGGTTCCCACCCCCTACAACACTGCCCTGTGAACTGGGATCAGGTGACGGTGGCGGGGCTACAGGTTGGGCCTGGGCCGCGGGGTAGATGGGTGGTGGCATACTCGTTTGCGGTCCGGCTACTGGCGGCGTACTTCCCCATGGCACAATTGCGTTGATCACCGGCCAGGGCCACTGTCCATAGGAGGGCGCCCCGCCTTGCGAGAGACCCGTACTAGATGATGGAGCCGCCACATTTAAAGGGGCTGCTGCCTGGGTTTGAGGCGCCTGCGCTTTTCCTGATCCCTGTCCGCCCTGCGCCAAATTGCGCACTTTGCGCGGGACCTTCGTCACGTGTTGTGGCACCGGCTCTTCCTCTTCCCGAAGCTCCTCCTGGCCAGCCTCCTCTATCACTGGCTCTTTTCCTTTTACTTTGACAGTCGTCACCACCCTTCTTTGCACCACTGGCTCTATCGCATACCCTAGCTGTGCCAATACGTCCGTAACAATCCTTGTTACTCCCGGGGTCCCAGAAGCGGTCGCATCTCTTTCCTTTCTCTTCTGTCTTTGCAGGCGTACCTGACGTTGTTCCACCTGGTTCAAGCACCCAACTTCCACCCCTCTGTCAATAGTGGCCCAGGTGAGCTTAGTGCTACCTCCTCCATGTCTCGTCAATTCGACGGCTTCCGATGC